CTGGGTCCATTTGTTCTGAGAAATATTTAACGACAGGGCAAATTCAACCGGCATGACGTGCACACACATCGAGCAGATAAAGAGGAGGATGGGACGATGCGTGGAGTGAGCTCGAAATGAATTTTTCAGCGCAGTGAGATGTTCTATTTGAATAAATCATGACACTTAAGATAGACATGAGGGCAGTATAGAGGTGCCCACCACTACTTTGAGGAGTAGCACTCCAAAGGAATGAAGTGCGTGTTTGGGAACGAGACAGAGAAAAATGGCCTCTCTTTGTCCATTTACTTCAAAGTTTTTGTGTTCAGTATTATTTTTTTTACATATTTAGTTAAATATTTTCTCTTTTTAGTCAAGTCACATCACTTTATCTTGCACCGGGTGTTTCTGTCACTGTCTATCTAAAGTGGGCCATTGCAGACTATTACAGGCTGGTGTCCGAGACTGAGGGCCAGGCCCAGAGACAGACCTGGTTCTGGATTATTAATGTCCCCCCAACCCCGTGGAGCCAGGCCGCCTCCTCCACCCAGTGCCACCCCCCCTTCCTCTGCACTACACCCCTGGGGTCAGCCTGCATGGCTCCTGGTGCAAGGCCCCCCTCATAAATCTCCCTAAATTAGTGTGTGTATGTGTGCACGCGCGCGCGTGTGTGTGCCTCCATGCTTAAACATATACTGCAGGCAGGGAGACAGGTCACCACAAAAACAAGCCAGTCAGGCTCTCGGTTGAAGTGTCAGTGATGCATGGCGGAAAGAGTGCAAGAAAGAGTTGCAGAGGAAAGAAAGAAAATGAGAAATGAAACACGAGGGGAGGAAAAGAAAATATACAAAACAGGAGTTGAAGAAGATATTTGATTCCGTGAGAGCGCCGGACTTCGCTTTTAGTTTGGTCGCCTATTTATTGCTCCTTTAATATTTTTTTCTTGTTTTTTTGTGCTGTAACATTATATTTGCTTACAAATATTTACACTTAATTTGAATCTGCCTCTGACTTCATTAGGATTGATTTCCTGAGCAAATCTTAATTCTTAATTGCTGAAGTGCAGGAACTTCCATCCTTCTACCTGCCTAGATTAGTTCAACATGTCCCACGGTGGTAACAGGCATGGGGAAGTGCTGTTGTGTCACTTAGTTAACCCCGGAGACAAATGGCTCCCCTCCGGAGCACAGTGAATTACACACCTCATGAAGCATATTAGGAGCCAGACACAGGGGCTTTTCTTCTGGAGATGATCTGTACAGCAGAAATGGATGGAGGGAGAGGAGAGGGCTGAGTTATGGTATCACCCGCAGCCATTTTTACAGCGCATCAGCATCAGAACAAAACAGAGAGAGAGAGAGAGAGAGCAGCATGAGGAGGGGCGAGGGAGAAAGAAATGGCAGAGAGATGTCCAACAAAAGGTGGAAAAGATAAATAAACCAAAGCTGCGGAGGAAGATAAAAAACCCAGAGTTCCAAAGTTATCTGTGTTAGATTTGACAAGGAAAACAACTCTTTACCTCATTTGTGGCTAATGTGGCAAAATTATTAGAAAATATAACAGCATTGTCCCTCGGAGGCTTCATTGCTGTTAGCTAATCACTTAGACAATCTTTATCACCACAGTAATAATATTTAGATGCTACAGGGATTACTTAAAAGTTGTGTTATAATTGCTTTTCCTTGTTTTGTTTTTTATGGGCAGAGGGTGAGTTTGTGTTTAATTGCTCCAAAGTGACAAATAATGCCCCTTATGATATGATGAAAGTGTGAGATCATTAAATTACTACGCCGACTGGCTGCGTGTGTTTATTCGTTCAGGGTTTTTTTTTTCTGCTTTTACAAATTTATGCCATGAGGCTTCAAGAGGCCAAGCAGTTATTTTCACAAATTCACTTCCACAGCCATTTCTAGATTTGGAGGGGGGGTAATTACGTGAAAGCAAAATGGTTTTATTTCATTTAATCCAGCCGGCGCAGCAATTTGCACTGGTAATATTTGTAGCTGTGGAGTCTGCACAGTAAAACAGCTGAAAACCACAAGAGTTTCAAATACAAACAAGGTAGAGGGAGGCTGTAATCGAAGCACGACCGTGCGCGGGAGACAAGGGTGCGTGTAAAGCAACTGAAAATTGATGTCTTCAGAGAAGATGCTGTTTTATTTTTACATTTACTATGTGTAAGACTTAAAAAACATCATATGCTGGCCTGAGGAATATAAATACAGAAGTAAGGAGGCAAAATCCCCAAACACACACACAAATAAGTTGTCAGGTTATCCAAGTGCTTTTCGGCGTTCGGCTTATTCGTTTCATTATTTTCTATAAATCTTATACAACTACATTCCCCTACGTCTCCCTATAGTAAAAAAAAGTAAAGAATTAAAGATACTGACTTTGGTAGGACTGACTCTGTAGGTCCTGAGCCTGATAAGATGTAATGTGACCATGATTATTTTGCTTGGTGTTCCCATTTTCTTGGACCAAACTACTCTCACACGCCGCCATGTGCATGGAGAGAGTGAGAAGCAACAATTGTTAAACATCAAATGGGTCCCCTATTGATCAAAAGCAAAGAAAACAGTATAATAGGGAGCTGAATCGAGCAAATGAGAGAATTACAGGCTATCTGTCCATATTTACCGGTCAGCTGTCAATCAGATTATCCATAAATCCGTATGGTAATCTCCTTGCTAATGCATATCCACCCCCCACTCCTACAGCACACACCCACACTCTGTTGATCCATGTAAATGTGTGCCAGTGGTGATTCCAGTCCCCTCGGCTCTCCCTGGGAGACGAGATGGAGCACAGAGGAACCAGCTCGCTGCAGTTTTGTAATGTTTCCACACGGCTGACTCGAGACACCTTAAGTCATGTAAATAATGAATCAGATGATGCGCGGTTGTGGGAGATCCGCATGCTGACATATAGAGCAGCATATGAGGCGTGCTGACTTTCTCTCGCTGTGTTTCAGGAGCAACCCAACCCCCTCCTCCAAACTCTAATATTTAACCCTCTGATTTAGTCACCTCTGACTCGGCTGACCCTAACTTTTCTCCTTCCACTTATCCATCATCTATCTGTCATGAATAGCGGAGCAAGAGGAGGAGGAGGAGGGCAGTTGAAGAAAGTGTAGAATCGATGAATTAAACAGGAGGCGCAGCTAGGAAGGTGGAGTATGTTGGACAAGTGGAGGTAGGCCACAGCTGTCTGTGAGGCTGCTCCCTGACCTCGAGGAGACAAGAAAGTTGGGAGACCCTCAGTCTGTGGGGTCTAACAGCCACTGTAAAAAAAAAAAAGGGGGGGGGGGACTCCATCTCTCTGCTTCATGAATTATTGAGATATTGGCCTACAGCTTCTAAAATATACAGGAGGGTGGTCTGTCTCTCCTTTCAGATTTCACATACTGTCTACTCGTCTCTCTGTCTATGTTTCTATCAGTTTCTCCTCTCACTTTCTGCCTCCTCTGTTTTTTCCCCTCTTTTTCTCCCCTCCCCTTCTCATTTCGATTTGGCCGCTCGAGCCAGCGAGACTGTAAATCAGAGCACAAACAAAGCCAAAGAATAAAACAGAGCATCAGAGAAAGACAGTTTGTTATTGAGAGCATATAAGAGTCTTTTTTTCTTCTTCTTCTTTTGCTTCAAGAGGAGCATCTACCACTAACCAGCTGTCACGCATTTAAAAGTTGTCAGGGATAAATTCACGAGTTCTTGTGTTACATCAGATGCTTATAATGCACACAGCAGTAGGCTGGCCCTTGGAATGAGACATAACTCCAGCTTGTCCATTTATCTTCTTTGCTCCTTTCTCTCTCTCTTTTTTTTTCGTATCCCTAGATGAAGCAATTGTCCAAGGCACGCTGCTACTTACAGTGTTTCTCTTGACATGTTTCTGTATGTGTGTCTGTGTGTGCCCGCGCGTGTGTGTGTGTGTGTGTGATGCGCTCACTCGTGCATGATTATATCTGAGGCGGTTGGCTCCAAACGCGCTGCCCAGTGCAGAATCCTAGCCATAACAAATGAACAGAGGGGAGAAAATAAGACATATGAAAGAAAAGCTGAGCAAAGGAGTGATTCTCTCACTGGCTGGTCGAGATCTGTATTGTAAGCAGTTTCAGCTGTCAGCACTTCTTTGAGCTACCTCAAAGGGAAGTGTGGGGGGATTGGGGCGGGGGGGTCGGTGGTGGTGGCGTGTGTTGTAGTTTCATTTTTCCCCTTTTGAGGGTTCCTGTTTATTTGTACACGGCGCTGTTTATTTTCGCGGCTCATTTGATTTCGGTGTTTTTTGTGTGTTTTCGTTGTTGTTGTTGTTTTTTAAGACAGACAGACAGCGCAGAAGGGAGAGTGACGAGACGTACAGTGGTGTAGGTTCAGTTAAAGAAGAAGTTGTCAGGCTTCGAGTCTTGAGGTGGGGCTAGGGAATAAATTGTCAGCCGTCCCCCTTCCTGCTTTTCAGCCCACCCCCACAACTCTCCCCTTTACTCCTCCGACCCTCCCTCTCTCCCCCGTTCTCCTTCCCCTCCCTCCCTCCTTCATTAAGTATTGATGCGGGTAGCCATACTTGCCATCTCAGCCTATTAATAATGCATGGCAGGTGCTGTTGATGTGGTCTCTCACACTGAGATTGAGAGAGGCAGGAATGACAACACTATGCTGCAGAGTAGCTACAGCACAACCTCCGTCACACGGCTGTGCAGCTGTGGGGGGTGGGGGGTGGGGGGTTCTGCGTCTGCCCTGGTGAGTTTATGGCAAGCTGTGACAGCAGCTCCAAGAGATGGATATACAAGGTAGCATCTTACTCAATATCCCGGAGCTGTTTTTACATAGAAAAGTGCCTTTGTCATAAACAACTGATGGATGATGGTGGGATAGTGTATGAGCCTTGTCTGCCACTGCTCTTTTATTTGTTTTATTTGTGTTGTGTGTTTTATTGAAGGGAGCTCGCACTGTTTCAGTGACTCACAGGTGCTGTTGCAACAGCTCATTCGGTTCTCTTGCTGTTTGTTTCTCTTGCACGTGCAGGTTCTTCCTCAAGTTCTTCCTGAAGTGTAACCAGAACTGCCTGAAGAATGCAGGGAACCCTCGAGACATGAGGCGTTTTCAGGTGATACATAACTGTCTGAATGCCTAGCTCAGTGTTTATAGTGGACAGGAGTAACACTTCTGTCTGTTTCTTCTTCTTCTTCTTTCTTTTAAGGCTACACACACAACCACAGCAGAATCTCCTTCCCTTCAAAGAATAACAGAAAGAATTCAAAAGATCTCTTTCTAGTAAAAATGTCCAGAAGCCACAGAGCATAAATGTTCAAAAGTTACAAAAGAATTAATAAACAAATGTCCTGAGGTCTCAGAGAAAAGCATCACAACAAAAGAACGTTCAGTTCTAAACCCACATATGAAAACGCCACAAACAAAGCTGCAAAATGCCTCATGAAACGATAAGTAGATGTGAACCCGTTAGGAATGATAAACCCAGCTTTCTATTTGAAAGCTCTTCAAAGCATCTTTCTGCTCTTTGCTTTGACAACTCTACAGTTTTGGATGACTCCTACTGCTCTCACAGCTTTGTTTTTGGTGGCAGCCACTGGCTCCTTTAAGGGAAAAAGCTCTGAGAATCCACTGTGCACACACTTCCTGTTCCTTCTGGAAGAAAGGCTCGCCACTGGCAGCCATCTTGGCAACAAATTTGGTGGTTATTTTGAAGCCCCTCTCTAAGTGAATGAGGAAATAGCAATAACTTTAATTTCAAAGGGACATAAGTGTTGCATGTGTAGAATCACCAGTGAATCAGAATCGATTTTTAAAAGTTTTCCTAACAAGTTACACTTTAACTCTTCATGTTATAATAAAAATACAAAATACTTTGCATGTGCATTTGTGCATCTAAACTGGCTAATAGATGTCCAGATGTGAACAACCCCCATATATGCATTCAAGGAATTCTCCTATGAATTTCTATTACGGATCATTGGTGTCATGTGTCCAGTGCAGAGAGCTGCTGGCAAAGGTAGAGAGGTATTTAGCAGCTAAAGAGCACGCCATTTCTCTCAGAGGTTGGTGGAGACCAAACCATAGCTAAAAGGAGAGTGCTCTACATCTACAGGATGTGTAAGTAGGCAAATGTAGGCTATGGTTTGCTAATACATCACCAACACATACTGTGTGTTCCCAGCTATTTTCTTAAGTGACCAAAGTGGGTTTTTTTTTTTTTACTAAACAAGCACCACAGATATGGTAAAGCAAGCAAAATAATGTCAAATTAACCCCTCTGGGACAACAAATAATGGAAGTAAAACTTAAAAAGTGTAAAACATACTGTTCATTAAAAGAAAACAAGTCCTAAAAGCCATGAACGTGTGAGACTATACGAGTAAATATTATAATGTAAATAGGAGTATTTGTTAAACGTGGGTTAAAGATTATGTAATGTGTGTAAGCGTGTGTGTGTGTGGGTGGGAGTGAATCTCAGGGTACACGTATGTATAGCGCAGGTGACTGGCAGGTCATGTGAAAGTAAGATATTGCTGTCATTCATTAGACAGGAAGGAGCAGTAGGGTCATCTAAGTTTATATTACTTCCTACTCACGTTCAAGCATAAAACTTGACTTACTTATATACAGATGATTAATATATTTGGGTTTTTTAATATTCATACATGTCAGTTGTGCTTTATTCTTTTACATGTTTAAAATAAATGTATATACTTTACAAAAATAGTGATTCATATGTTAAAACCCATTTATTCCTAGAAAATATATCAACCAGTCTTCATGAAGTGTTTGGTAAGTTGTAGATATAACAAAAGAAGTATAAACATGTTTACTTCAGTGTGAAAGTAAGTTAATCCACATAGCATTTTGCAAGAACTCCTAATGCTTGTCCGGCGTAATCACGACAGCGTTCAATTACTGAAGATTTGTAAGCAGCCACAACAGGGTGCTGGTTGTTGTTTTTAACACCTTGTTTCTCACTTTCTTTTGGTTTTCCTTTCTCTCAGGTGGTTGTGTCGACTACGGTGAGCGTGGAGGGTCACGTTCTGGCCGTCTCCGACAACATGTTTGTGCACAATAACTCAAAACACGGGCGCCGAGCTCGGAGGCTGGACCCGTCAGAAGGAACGCCATCCTACCTGGAACACGGTATTTAAAGCGAGAACAAAACACCTCGGCTCTCTTCCCCATCTTTCTTTGTCTCCTTCACTTTATTTCTCTCTCTATGACTCCACTCCTCTCCCTCCCTCTCTCAACCCCTTCCCCCCTGTCTGGCTCCACACTCAACCCTTCCTCTGTCTCCCACTCCACTCCCCTCCAACCTCCTTTCTTTCTTATCTCTCTCCTGTTTCCTCCTGGATTCTCACTTTCCTCTCTTGTAGGGTTTCTAACTCGAGCTAAGAGAGGAGTGAGTGGTAGCTAGTGAGTCTCTTGTCTCTCCCTTGTGGCTTGCTCCCCTCAGGTCTCTGCCTCTGGGCCTTCTACTCTGCCTCGCATAAGCACTATGTGTCTTATGAGGTCTGTTCTGCTTAAAGCCAACACTGGCTTTATTTCCTCGGAGACCTGCTTTTATCCTCCAGCCCTCCATCACTCCCCATCCCTCAGGTTTTCAAACACACCCATACACATACTGAAAAGCCCCTTGCACACACATACATACACACCCCCGCATGCACAGTCAAACCCAAACCTTTAATACTTCATAATGACATGTGCACATGATTTAGGAGCCTGCACTGATTCCCAAGTCCCTAATCCAGTTATTTTCTCATTTCGATTTCCCAGACATTGAATAAGAGAAACATATTTTTTTTTTCTTTGAGGAAAGTCAACCTCAGGGATGATAATGACAAAAAAATAAGCGGGGATTTACATGATGGCCTATAGTAGATTGCATTAAGATTGAATGTTATGGTTAAGTCTTTCTAATGACTATTCTCCAGAGGCAAGGTGGACCACTTGTCCCTGCGACTGGTCTCACAGATGATTAGAAAAGTTCACAAAGATGAGACATATTGGAGACGTCAGCGAGGCTTGGATCTTGCACATAAAGAAGAGTCCACACAGGACACCAACAGATGTTTCTCGTGTCGTAGAGATTTGTTTGGGAATTTCTTCCCCTCTGATTTTCAGTTTCAGTGATGGGAGTTAAAAAGGAGGAACAAGAGGAGTAAAAGGAACAGAACAGGTTACAGGGAGAAATGTAAATGTGATGAAAGAATGGGGGGAAAGTGCCCAACAGTGTAAAGAATAGAGAAATAATTTTTTTCATTAAAAAGAGGACAGTAGTTTCCCATTCCCCCCCACCCCCCTTTCTGGTGTGGGTTCAGTTTGTGTGCAGGATGCGCAACTTTGGGGCCCATTTCAGGCGGTAATAGATGAGCAGTGCATAGAGTTGAACAGATGGCACCGAGGAACACCCCAAAGTATAATCCTATCACATGGATTCACGTTCCACCATCTGGTTAATCCACACACACACAGATACACACATAAACACACACATGCACATCGAGCGCACATAATATCAGCGGCTGTGAAAAGGAGGCATCTTAGGCCATGATTACGGCCACAGATTGCTGCTTGGTGAACGCTGATCTCTGCAGGCGTATCGGGGGGCTAAATATCATTCCAGCTTGTTGGGGAGGATCAACAGAACAGGGAGTCAGGCAAAGAGCAAAGGCTAGGCTGCAGGGAAAAAAGTCAGCCTAGTCTAAAGTGGATTATGCCGCTTTACAGAATTACAGCATGTCTGACAAGCTGCATATCTGTTAAGGAGAGGAGATTTAGCTTGTATAAACATGTATTTTCCCAATGCTGTTCTTTTCTTCAATCACACCCAGCAATCATAACACCAAGAGATAAGGTCAAAAAGCACACTGAATGGCAGTTATTGAAAATGCTGCTTATTGTTGTGGTCCCACGTACTTTGTCCCATAAGATGCGAAGAATATGCTTAGAAGGAAAACACTGGGAGCTTAGAAAAACCCATTACAAATGTACCGGGCAGAAGCTGGAAGGAGTCCATGTGGTCGTGCTCTGAGACACTGGCTACTACACAGATATATGAAACAGGCAGCTGAGCAAGAGCTAAGTGTTTGGCTAATGAAGGCAGTGTATTCAGAGGGCAGAGCTACTGTTGGCTCTGCTGTGTTCCCCGGTCGCATGGCCTTTGATCAGACACTGAGCACACCTGACATTTACACGCCCGCACGCTTTGCCACGTGTCATAAAACAAGTGCACCGCCGCTGCCCTCACACGCGGGGCAGGGGTGATGTTTAATAACGGGGCGAATATAATCACTCTGATTAGTATTCCTCACTCGCCCCCCGACCCCTGGGAGAGAGGCGATAGGTGATATATGTGTATGTGTGTGTGCATGTGTGTTAAAGAGAAGGAGAGATGGAAAGTAGAGAGGACTATGCATGCTGCCAATAGCAAAAGACCTTCTAGGCTTTCATTAGGATAGCAGCTAATCTGTTTTTTGTTTTTTTGTTTTTTTTTCCAGCAACCCCCAGCATCAAAGCCATCAGCCCTAGTGAAGGCTGGACCACAGGGGGCGCAACAGTCATCATCATCGGGGACAACTTCTTTGACGGCCTACAGGTCATCTTTGGGACAATGCTGGTCTGGAGTGAGGTTAGTCACAATTTAGTCATATTTGTGTTGTTTTGTTTGTTTTATTTTTATTGGCTTGGTACACTTCTTATATAGCCAGTGTGGGCAAACAGTCTTTTAAATGCTTCATTTGGGAACCATTATTTTTACATTAGATTAAATACATAATTGTGATTTAAAAGTGCCCAAAAGTTTTGCAAAAAAACTTGTAACACTGTAGCATCACACTTTTGATAATGTTGTAATTATTTTATGGACAAATAATATAATCAGATAAAACCTTGTTACCCACACTGCAAAAAATCAATATTACTAAACAGAGAGCAACCATCTGCAAATAGCCTTATTTAAATTCCACCAAAACTACATCAAATGTTGAAAATGAGGCATGTTAAGTTGTTTCCAGCATATGGAAAAGCTGGGCAAATACATAAATAAAAATCACCTGGTGGAAAACATGGATCAGTGTGTGACGCTGTTGTCGGATAAAAACCAGAACCCTTAAAAAACGATTTTCCTTTATTTGAACAGAACAAAGCATATGTCGTTGTTGAGTCATGTTCAGCAGTGCTGATCATCTGAAGTCCCGCATCAAGCGAGAACAGGACAACATTTGGCTTTCACAACTACTCGGTTCCCAAACACTTGCATCGTGTTGTTAAAAGAAAAGGTGATGCAACACATTGGTAAACATGTCCCTGTCCCAACTTTTCTAAAACGTGTTGCTGGTGTTAAAAAAATCTAAAATTTGAGATTTTTTTTCAACAAAGCAAAGTAAATCCTTTTAGTTCCAACAAATCATATCACATGTTTATGCAATTCCTACATTATTATAGGGTTTAAATGAATGGGAAAGCACAGCATTCTGTTTTTGTTTGCATTTCACACAAAGTACCAGCATTTTTGGAAATGCTTTTTAATTGAAATAGCAGTCATGATTAATAAATGATACTATAAGAAATAACTGTTTGCAGGGCTATAAATGCATATTAGAAATACTTAACAATCTCAATAGAAGCCTATTGTTGCATTTCTCTCTGTCAGCTCTCACTTCTGTCATATTGCTATTCACCTCTCTTCCTGTCTTTTAATACGGTGCTATCTTCCGTCTTGAAATATATTCACATCGTACAGTATGAATCCCTTTGTAAGGAGCATCTGCTACATGACTAAAATGTAAATGGAGTCTATGTGTGAAATTGAAGGTCAGTGAGCAGCGCAGCTAAACAGCTTTCTCTTTAGTAAAGGAATAATTCTATAAAAAGCTCCTATATTATCTCGCTGAGAGGTGAGTGGGGCCAAACAATGCTAGAATGAAAGCCTAGCTAAGTGAGCAATGAAAAGGACAGCTAGAACAACACACACACAGATGCACACATACATGCGCACATACACAAAGCGCTGGCAGCAGCAGTGATAGCTTTTGAGCACTGCTAGTTTTGAGTGCTCGTTCACTACAGCGTGCAGGAAACAAGCACTCAGCGAGGTCTCATCTGTGTTTTGTCTTGTTACCGTTTTCCTTCAAAGACCCTTCAGCGTGAACACACGTGCGTGGCGAGCGGGCTCATCAGCTGCACTAAGTGAGCCTGTTTAAGACACAATTGTGCTTTAATGTGACTAACGGCAGCTTCAGCTGACAGACACGGAGACAGGGGCAGGCGCATTATACATTAACTCGCATTGTTCAATAGGCGTACGCAGAGGAAAAGTGTGTTTTATTCATAAACAGATAACTGCTTTTGAACCCCTCTTACAGAGTCCATGTCAGCACTGATAACCATCCCAAGCCTCACAGTGACATTGCCTTAGGCTACGAGGCCACCTGAGGGCTCGTAGCCAAGCGCATCATTTTCAGGCCGATTATACAAAGAAAAAAAGTCAAAGCTGCAGAGGAAAGGTCCGAGATGAGCCGAGAATACACCCACCCCCACCGGTGCACATGTTTAGATATGAAGTATCATCACATTAATCTGCCTGGCCTTTCCGCTTTTCCTGTAGCTCATCACCCCCCATGCCATCCGCGTCCAGACTCCACCCAGACACATCCCCGGGGTGGTGGAAGTCACACTCTCCTACAAATCCAAACAGTTCTGCAAAGGCACACCTGGACGCTTCATCTACACAGGTACCTTTACACTAACATTTACCAATCTGCTGGCTTTTCTCCCAGTTTCTCTCAATTCTACATACAACTCATGTAGAATAAATTTACAGCTATAATCACATCAAAATCTTCACACGCTGACTTTAAGTTTTATAAAAATCTCACTTTATTGTTATATACATATACATATATATATATATATATATATATATATATTCCTAAAGTTTTGTCTTTCAGTTTATAAGCTGTCATTTCTCTGGACGGTTTCTGGTGAAAAATGTGCATGCTAAGCAACTTAAAATTCAATAACAGAACTCAATAATTCAGTGGAAAAAGCCTGCTGATCAGAGGAGGAAAAGCATTTGCCCTCTTTTATGAAGCAGGTGAAGGTCAGGAGGAGGATTAACCTTTTGATTGGTGGGATTATTGAGAATTGACCCTGTCGAAGACGCGATTCAGAAAGGAAGAGGTCCGTGTGGAGTGTGTGATATTTATTTATTTACTTACTTTATTTTTTTGATGGTCAGCACAGGGGCATGAATAGCTCGAGTGTTACATCAGAGCACGCTGGTGCAGAGTGAAAAAGGCGCCGCGAGAAGAGCGGCACAGAGAGAGTGAATGTGAAGCTGTGATTAACCAATGCAAGGCCACAGGTCCTCTGGGAGACTGTGAATCACATAAATCTGTCTGTAATCTCAACCACTGATAGACTTAGGCCATAAGCCCCGGCTGGAATTACCAACATTTGACAAAATCACAATTGAGAGAAAGCGCGCGTGCGTCACATTGCTAGCGTCTCCTGCATCTTGTGTGTTCCTATGCGTCACAGCTATGACTGTGTTTTGTGTTCTTGTGGGGAAGACTGCAATAGGATGCCTGTGTTTGTTTGCACGTAAGTGTGAACATAGTCCAAGCGCACACATGCACGCTGACAAGTAACTGCATTACTAAGACACAGGGCAGATGGGTGGGCAGCCTTTGCCATGCCAGAGCTGTCCAACAGCCCACACTCTGCCAAACCCATAGAGCTATGCGTGTGTGTGTTTGTATAAGTGTGTGTAGGTGTGCATATGTGTATACGCAGCCTTTTAATGTGCCAGACATGTGGCAACCGCATGCATAAACGCCCTATCGCTTCCTAGTCCTCCAATCTTTCACCTTGTCACATTCACTTATTCAAAACTCGGCTTCTTTGAACAAATTCATTCTTTCCCCGCTTTCTGTCCCTCCATGCTCGGCTTCCGTGGGGGCGCATAGAAGAATCTCAACAGGTGAGAGGTAGCAAGAGGTCATCCGCTGGGTGCCGAGCGCATGCGCCACGGTGCCGCGTGCCAAGAGCTGGCGGTGACAGAGTCAAGTGTGTCGAGGCACAGACCCCAGTTCTACTTTTCACACACTTCATTCCAGCCACCCCCGTGGGCAATTGTACGTCTCAAATATAGGTTTTTGTCATTTTACTTTCTCCCAGTGAGGAGGAAACCTGCTCACATTTAGCGGCGGGAAAAAAGAAAAAAAAAGAAGGGGAGGATGAGCAGGGCATTTGGAGCAGAAAAGCAATCGATGTGAGTGGAGAGAGAGAGAGGTGGATGAGAAAGAGGAGAGAAGAGAAAGATGGGAGCGAGGGATGGAGGATTACCATGGGCCATGTTGCCCTCCTGGGTCTGTTTGGCACCAGTTTGAGCCCAGTTGCCAGTGGGTACTAATCATGGAGGATTGGCAGCGCTGCATGGCAGCTGGCAGCCGGCACATACACACACATCAACACATCCCCACACTCACAGACATGCATATACTCCTATATTACATGTGCATGCGCGATCACACACACATGCACGCTCTGAATTACATTGGGGACAGCTGGCATTGCTAATCAACTTCTGCTGAGGAGAGGAAAGCGAGCAGCTCACAGACCTAATTAAGTCAACACATACCCGATACTGCTGCTACTGCTGCTTTGCAAACATACCCGACACACACACACAAACCTACCCACATAGCCCTACCTATAGGTTTATCCCCTCCGCCCTTCTCTGCATCATTATCGATACTCTAGAACCAGCCGCCACCAAAATGAAAAAAAAAGAAGAGACGGGAACTTTTGGTGCAGAGAAAATTCGAAGAGAAGCTATTACAGTAATGTGTCCTCTGCCGTCTCTGAGGACTCCTGTGCCATTAGACTTCAGAAAGCTCCAATTAGACTCATCAAAGGCAATTAAGCTATCCACTGATAAGAATAGAAGAATGTTTTTTTTAATTCCCTGCTCTTCCTCTGTCTTTTTATCCCCTTATCCCCCTTCTGTTCCTCTCTCTGCCCTCTGCCTTACCCACCTTTGGGGCTGAGAGCTTTCCCTAATCTCCCTCACTTTCCTCTGCTCTCTCTCCCTCTCTCTCATTATCAGGTCAACCCCCCCCACCCCCCCTGTACAAATGCATCTCCATGTTTGGTTGTGTATCACCTTTTACTAGATTGCTGTCTTTGTAACATTCATCAAGGAAGCTCTCTCTTTTCTTTTTGCCATGCAACATAAAATGATAATACCCAACCAGTGCGGCCTATGTGTGTGTACCTGTACTCATGTGTGTGTGTTTGTGCGACACAAGGATGCCGGCCATAGATTGGGGGAGTTGATGAATCACCCTTGTCGTTCAAAAGGCAATCCCTCCCTCCTCAGTATGCAGCCTTGTCTGCTTAGTGCTTCCACTACAGCTTCTGCTGATATTAAAAGGCTCTGCTGGCTCACATTAAGGCTGGCACCGCGCACGGTGACACGCATCCGCGCACGCACAAACATTAGGGGTAGTTTTTCAGCGCTCAGTGCAGATTAGGTGTGTAGGAAACATCACTCAGTTGCGGCAAAGAGGCGCGGGAACAGTGAGGGGGGGAGAAAAGACAAAAGTCAAGAGCAGAATTTAAACCAGCTGCTGCTGACATCTCTCTCCGTCTCTGCACGCCTGCCTGTGTGTTCCAAATTAGTTTTAGGACTGTCAGTTGTCTCTCATTTTATACAGTGCAGACACTGTATTGTAAAAGTGTGACACAGGTAAGTGCTGCAGTTTAAAGTTAGTGCTAGCTCTAATTAAACTGTCCCGAACTGTGGTGAAATCTGCTGGTGATGCACACTGAGAAGCACTGCTTTAATTACAAATCACCAGAGTGCTTTAAATTCCTAAGTATATGTGATCCTGGTTGTGTTGATATCATAATTTTGGAGACGCGTGCATGATAATCAGCGGGAAAATCTCCCGCACATGTTGCTGCATAAACAAACTTAACATTAACATAGACAGACGTAGTCTACATTCATATACACACGTGGATCACCGCACGCATGAGCACGTTCGCACATCACACAGATGCACGAATGTGGTGGCACGAAGTCATCTGGCAATAAAAGTGGGGTGCAGCCACGAGCTGGTCAATTACTTGTCTTGCTCCTGTTTGTGAATGCTGTCTTTTATTGAGCCTGGGCGGGATGCCTGCTGTTGATTAAAACGGCTGGTCTACAGCTGGAGACAAGGCCAGCTGAGATAGCTGCATACATTCCCGTTTACGGCACGCAGTCTTAACTGCGAGGAAATTCACACCTCTATTTGAGATTGAGATTAATTTTCTGCACCATGTGGCTTGTCTTGCCTCTTTAGCATGCTCCGTTCTTATTACGGGAGCATCTGCTCCATGATGATGATGTAAATGAATTTCGAATGTAGATTATTTTGTTCCCCGCCGAAATGAGCGGCGCTCACCGGAGGAAATGATTTCTCGTGTTTTCTTATATCTTAATTCAAGCGCACACTTTTCATCTGGATTTTTCAGAATTTGCATTCTCCCAGCGAGAAGCCATGCTGTCAGGTATTGTTAACTGTCGACATGCACTTTTTTTTTTTTGCAACAGATAATTAGAGCTTAGGTTGTAGTAGTATCCACACCTCCATTGATTTGTAGAATCTCTCTGCACACACACACACAAACACACACACACATTCTTTCCCTCCTTCCAGCCCTCTCTCAGGCTCAGCCTCTCCTCTCCTTTAGGAGCAAAAAGCTCTACTCATCTGTTTTCTGTGTATGAATTTCCAGCCATGCATTAGTCTCCCTGACATGTTCAAGCGATGCTTTATTTAGCTTGTCGGATTCTGCAAATAAACGCAATCTCAGGGTTTATGGAAAAATGGATAAAAATTAGATTGTAAGGTATTGATCTGGATTGTGAGTAGTTGGTGGGGGTGCTGTGCGTGTATGTGTGAGAGAGGTGGTGTTGGAGGTGGGGGGACGGGGAGCTCTCATGTGTGTGTGTGTGTGTGTGTGTGTGTGTGTGTGTGTGTGTGTGTGTGTGTGTGTGTGTGAGTGGGTGTGTGGGGGGGGTGAGCAGAAATGAAGCCGTAATTCAGGGC